AGATAAAACGAAATATATGCCAATAGATAAAACGAAATATATGCCATCTAAATAACTAATTATTAACTTATACGGGACTTACACAAAACCTAATAAAATCCACTGTTATTTTGGCAAACTAATGGCAGCATAATAATGCCACATTAATTATTTGGCAACATAAAAAGACGAAAATAAAAAAACAATAAAACACGAAATAATGGATACTGAATCTGTAGCAGCAATAACTTTGCGCCTACTTGGTGTTCCATACAAATATACCTCGGCCGAACTTTTTCACGCGCGAACCGGTCCTAAACCATTCTAAACCGACTTGACCTAGGCCTATGCCAAACCTACTTGACCTAGGCCTATTCCAAGCCATTTAACTACAATGTACTGCATTGTGAATGCGTCATCGGCGTTCCATACATATACACGCATTGGTGGCTGTTCTGGAGGGCGGCCGATACGGGCCTAATTCGGTCAAAGATCTTATAATTACAAGATGTGCTCTCCGCGATTTACACGTAACAAATAGAAGCGTCGATGTTCAGTAAAAAGAAACATAAAAGTAATCATTTTTGCTAGAGGGCATACTAGTTATTACTATGATAGTTACAGAATTTGATATCTTTTTAGTAAATGATCTTTATTGTCAAAGTTGAAAAGTAATCATTTTTGCATGAGGGCACCCTAGCTAGGCCTACATTGCATTGATTGATTACAAAGAATGTTAAAACAGAACTGTTTAAATACAGTCCACTATTATGCTTAAAACAGGCCCTACCGGATTTCACAGTCTAGCCCTGATTCCGAGCAACAATAACCAGCCCCCGAGGCTAGCGATGGCTTAGGTAGGCTCATTCATACGGAGAGGCTTCACTAGGACTAGGCCTAAGCCTAGGGGTCTAGGCCTAGCCTCCAAAGCAGCCAGGCAGGACAATGACTTTGGCTAGGCCCTCGGCTGGCCCAGGGCCAGAAAACAAGTTAACAAAAAATCATGTTTAATAATAGACCGGTTAGGCCTAGGCCTAATAGTAGTTGAATAGGGCGCTAAAACTCCTTGAATAGTAATTAAGTAATTAAACAATTTTAATATATGATAGATTCTTAGCAATAAAACTACAACAGATAGCATTTACTTGAAACACGTCGACTTCTGTCGTACGCACGCATCCATCATGGAATGATTTTGTAGACGTGGATGAAGCCGTACAAAATAATTTTGTGACAGTTGAAGAGGCTACGCAAACTACATCATTTATCCATCATACTCATAGCGCTGGATAGAAAAATAAATAAAAGAAGAATGTAATAAATGTAAAGAAAAATTTGGAAAAAAGAATAAATAATAGAAGAGTAAAGAAATGAAATGAAAAGAAAGAAAACCATACGGCATTTAGGAAGGAAAGAGAAAGGAAAGAGAAGTGAATTAAAAATAGAAGAAAAAAATTAGAGAAGAGAAGAGAAAAAAGGAAGGAAAAGAAACGAAAGGTAGAAATCGAAATAAAAGAAGAAGAAAAGAGAAGAAAGGAAAGGAAAAGAAGAAATATATATTAAATTCATTAAAATTATTATAATTAATATTATTATTATTATTATTACTATTACTATTATTATTACTATTACTATTATTATTACTATTACTATTACTATTATTATTATTATTATTATTATTATTATTATTATTATTATTATTATTATTATTATTATTACTACTACTACTACTCCATGTAAAAAATAGTAAATCTTAACTTCCAAGTCTATAGAACTTCCTAGCCTATATCATGTGCAATATGAATTATAATAATAATAATAATAATTATTATTATTATTATTATTATTATTATTATATTATTATCATTATTATTATTATTATTATTATTATTACATTATTACTATTTCTGTTATTATTATTATTATTATTATATTACTGTACTATTATTTTTTTTCATTATTTATAATTTATTATCATCATCGTCATCGCCAATATTATTATCATTATTATTACTGCGTTGCTATTATTTTCTTTAAAATGATATGATTAATTTTCATCATTAACATTCAATAACAGTAATATAATCGTAATCATATTCATTATCACAATAATAATGATCCTCTGATCAAGATGATGTAACTGCAAAATATTAATATGGACGTCAGGAAACAGACCAATCAAATTGCGCGACTGAGTGTTTTACGTGTTTTAGCAACAGAGCTCATAGAATAATAACAATGATGGCTGCCTTTTGTTTATTGTAATTTTTATTGATCGCCGCCCAGCCGATTTCTCTCCTTTTAAAATCTTAGATTGTCACAGTGTACCTGTATTGATAAAGTCAAAATGAGCTGCAGTAGTTCAACTAATGTGACAAGTATGTATTATTTGTGATTCCAAAGGCAATCTAGGCTTCCTAGGCTAGGCAGGCTAGGGCACGGTAGGCCGTAAGGCCTCTCTATCTATGCTGTCTAGACTGGGTCGAGATAAGATTAGGCCTAGGCCTGCTGTAGTTCAGACCCCAAAAAAGATGACTTAGTTAAGGAAATTGTGTAGACTTACTAGCTTTTAATGACTTAGCTTTTTTGATTGAAATTGTTTTCCATTTATTTTTAGACATGACTGGTGAGGTAAAAAGGGGGTTTCTCAAACGATACGGTAAGTGACTAACTAGGCCTAGGCCTAGGCCTAGCTAGTCTAATTTTCATTAGTTTTATATTATTTTTGACCACGGAAACAACAATTGTGATTTGGATAATTGGATATACAGAATTTGTTTTTGAGAAATTATCAAACTGATACTCCTAGTCCTAGGTTGAATTGTACCAGGGAGTTAACTCCCTGATTGTACCAACAACAATCAAGGTGGTTGGACACATTCTCATATTTAAAAAAAAACTGGCTTTGTATTATTTTTTCCTCACAGACACTCATTAACAGTTGATTCACTTATTTTTATTTTCTTTTTTATTATATACTTTTAAATGGACCAATTATATTTTAACCTTACTTCATCTGTAGGCGGATTCTTGTTTAAGGGTTGGAAGAAAAAATTCTTTGTTCTCTACAAGGATAATCAGCTTGCATGGTATGACGGTCCAGGGGATTCATTAGATGGTGTAATGAATATTCAGACAGAATGCACCATGCTTCAAGTAGGTCTGCAGTTGAAGAAGGAAGCCCCAAAGCCAGACAGTGACTGCAGGCTTCAGTACATGTTTGCCTTGACAGGGATGGGGAAAACCCATTACATACAAGCTGTTAACGAGCAGGAGATGATGTAAGTCAGCCTTTTGTGAGCAGTACATCTGCTGTTGGTCCCAATATCGTCCTTTATTTTTAGACGAAACTTTTCTATACCTTGTTTCGCAAACTCTTTTTTTTAAAGATCGTCAAAGGAGGGCAAAAAAAAAAATTAAATTTTTAAATTTTAAATTATTTTTGCCAAAAATATCCAGACAGAGGAAAAAATAAAATAAAATTTTATTGTTGAATGTAAACAGTGTAGTTAAATGCTATAAATATTTTATTTTTACAGATTTCAAGGCAGGGGCTGGCATAATAAAAATAAAGAAAAACTTTTTTTTCCCTGAAATTTCCATTTTTTGTGGCAGCGGTTTGCTAATTGGCCAAAAATACAATTTTATTTTTATTCGATATCAGTATTGGCATGCGACGGGTTCATGAAACAAGGTATAAAAAATTATGAATTTGTATAAGTTGCAGTTTTTCTGTACAGATATTGCCTAATTGAATACATTTCAAAATTATATTACTGCAGAGAGCGGTTAATCTCAGATTTGCACTTTTTTAAAGCTATTTTGTTGTACTCTGTATGTCATGTACTTTGTACATGGTATTTATTATTGTATTTTATATGGGCAATGTCTGAAATAAAAGTGAATGAATGAATCAATTATTTGAAAACAAATAACAAATGATCGTAACTGTAATAAATTATGACAAATAAACTTTTTTCACATATATTAATTTTGTGTTCTTAAGCGTCTTTGTAGGACAGTGGTGTATCTAGTGGATATGCAGGACCCCCCCCCCCCCCACAAAAAAAAATTAAATAAAAATTTTTTCCCATAGTTTCCTCCCATTGAAAATGTTTGAAGCAAAAAAATAACCTCATATCACCGTATTTTGCAAACTAGTGCCCCTCACTTAATCACTGATCCCCTGCCCACTTCAACTCCCTGCTCCCCATTACCCCCTCCCATTTCAAGACTCTAGGTACACCACTGTTGTAGGAGCTTAACTTTTGTAGTAGAAGCTGTTGAACTGATCTTGTTTTTTCACGTCTCCCAATTTCTTCTCACCGCAGTAGATAGAAACTTGTGTACTCTTGTTCATCCTTCTGTTGCTTTAGCTGTAAAGTACATGTTGTCTATGCAATAAGGATCCTCTTGAAATATAAGCAGTTTCTCAGCTATGCTATGGTATGACATAATCAAGCACATTTTAATTTGTAAACATTATTGATGTATTAATCAATCAATCATAACAATCCTCCACAAAGTTCAATTGTGTGGTGACTCGATATGAAGCAGCTCAGGCTGCCTAAATAGTTAACATTTTAGATACGTTTATTACAGTATTTACAAAGAATTGTCTTTTACCTATAACATTAATTATTTAAAGACAATGATCAACTTGCTCTTACTGACATAAGATATGTTGCATTTGTTTTTATTTTATGTTCATTAAAAATGCACTACACTTTCTGAACTATCAGAAGTCATGATACAGTCAAGTAATAGTTTTTATTCTCTACCCAAATCATTTTATATTTGGTTATTGATATATGCTATGGTCTGTATAATTTTGTTTGCTAAATGATAACAATTTTGAAATGTATATATATGTATGTACCTTAAACCCTCGAATAAGCGCCACTCAACAAACGCCACTCTTGAATGGGCACACTCTCGAATAAGCGCCGCACCAAATGTGATTTTTTTTTTAGCTAAGTGCAACTCTTGAATAAGCGACGTAGTTTGGAGGCCTATCATAAGCCCTACATCATTTTTTATTCATTTGATCACTTTACACAGGGTAATTACTATTCTAACCCACTTAGTGAAAGTAATTTGCCATAATGTGTGAGTGCATCAGCAACTTATCTCCCCCTTCCCAAACAGCCTACACCCATGTAAGGTATCCTAAGGTGTATAGTAATCAGTACTAATGAGGTGATTAGATACGTACAGGATGCAGGAGTGCAGTTGCAATCCTGTAAAGTGATTTCCCCACTACTGGAAAAATGCCAGGACTAGCTGAGAAATGAGGAGGTATGAAGTAACTTTACTGTACACATGGTATAGTATGTGTTTTTTTTGTTTGGGAAAGCTTGGGGCGGGGATTTAAAATTTTCCTGTTGGCCTCGCTTTCCCCAAACCCCCCTCCGCCCTACTCACCTGTAGATGCACCGTTGCATTGGGTAAAACATCTATGAAACACTCAGGTACTTAATTAGTGAACAAAAATGACGCCAGCAAAAATGATATACAGGTAAAAACTTGTCCAAGTTTACTTTGCCTAACTCAAATAAGTCGATCTCATTTTACATGCCAAATTGTTGCGTTTTCCATTAATTAACCATCTGTAAGTCAAATTTGGTCTAAGTCGAACAATTTTCCAATGCCATTTTGATTTGACTTTAGGCAAGTTCAACTGTAGTTAACAAAACTTACTTAAAATATACTTAGTTAAATTTTTAGAACTATAATTAGAAAAACATGTATTCATGTCCTCTATATAAGCCTGTCTCTTATACACATCTAGATGTGTATAAGAGACAGATGCTATGGTATGACATAATCAAGCACATTTTAATTTGTGAACATTATTGATGTATTAATCAATCAATCTTAACAATCCTCCACAAAGTTCAATTGTGTGCTGACTCAATATGAAGCAGCTCAGACTGCCTAAATAGTTAACATTTTAGATACGTTTATTACAGTATTTACAAAGAATTGTCTTTTACCTATAACATTAATTAAGTATTTAAAGACAATGATCAACTTGCTCTTACTGACATAAGATATGTTGCCTTTTTTTTATTTTATGTTCATTAAAAATGCACTACACTTTCTGAACTATCAGAAGTCATGATACAGTCAATTAATAGTTTTTATTGTATACCCAAATCATTTTATATTTGATTATTGATATATGCTATGGTCTGTATAATTTTGTTTGCTAAATGATAGCAATTTTGAAATGTATATATATGTATGTACCTTAAACCCTCGAATAAGCGCCACTCAACAAACGCCACTCTTGAATGGGCAGGCTCTCGAATAAGCGCCGCACCAAATGTGATTTTTTTTTAACTAAGTGCCACTCTTGAATAAGTTTGAATGAGTTTGGAGGCCTATCATAAGCCCTACATCATTTTTTATTCATTTGATCACTTTACACAGGGTAATATGTACTCTCACGTAAGCACCGTGGTGCTTATTCGAGAGTACATATTTTTTTGAATACAATATATACAGTGATCAAATAAATAAATAATACAATGAAGACACAAGCATATCTTTATAAACATTATTTACGGTGATGTAGGACTTATGAGAGGCCTACCGAACTACGGGAATATGCAAAGTAGGTAAAGTGGGCCTGGAACAGAATGGAAACCGGCACGTTAATATTTATTTAATAAACGCCGCTCTCAAATAAGCACCGCACTGAAGCCTCCAAAAATGTCATCAGCGCCGCTGTGCTTATTTGAGGATTAATGGTATGTTAGTTGACTTTGTTGTTGAAGCATGCTTTATTGTCTAAAGCACTGCCCGGACTATCTAATTTTATTTGTCTATCATTCATTGTATTTATTTTGTTTTTTAGCTCCTGGCTGTCAGTTCTATACCAGGCCAAAGGACTCCAGCCACCTGGACAACCACCTCCTGGTGCCCAGCCTCCTTACCAACAGCCTGGCGTAGCACCTGGAATGCCTCAGCCTCCTCCGCCTGGTTTCCATCCAAGCTTAACAGCACAAGGTAAGTTAATAGCAGTTTTATGTGTGTTTTGTGCCCCAGTATGCAAATTTTACAGTCAAATTGTGGTAAACATGGTGAATAGGGACCTCTAGGTTAGTGATAATTCATAAGCATTCTTCTGTCTATAAATACACTGCCACATAAGTAACATTAACATGCTACACGTTTGTTATTCTTTTAGGCGCTCCACCACACTACCCTCCTCCACAACAGGGCTATCCACCACAGAGATACCCACAAGCCAGTCACTACCCTCAGCAGCAAAACTACCCCCGACAGAACTACCCTCGCCAGCAAGGTGGTGCATCTCACCAACCCCAGACTATTGTTGTCAACAACGATAGAGGCAGAGGCTCTGATTCTTTCGCTACTGGTATGTTGACTGGATACATGTTGGGTGGGTATGGTCATGGGTATGGGTACGGGTATGGATACGGGTTTGGTGGTTGGGGGCACCATCACCATGGTGGATTTGGCCACCATGACCATCATCATCAGGAAATTCACCAAGAGATTCATCACCATGAGGAGAATAATTATTACGGTGATAGTGGAGGACAAGAAGCGGATTATGGAGGGGAAGACTACGGTGGAGACGACTACGGAGGGGATGATTATGGGGGAGATGATTTTGGCGGAGATGACTTTGGAGGAGGGGATGATTTTGGGGGTGATTTTTAGTTTAAACTTTAAATTAATGTACATCATAATTATAATATCTTCCCAAACCACCCTCAAGGCAGCCTTTTAAGGCTAAAAACATTGTGTTGAATTGAAGAGACATGTTAACATAGAGTAGCTACGGAGTGGGGGGTGTGATAATTGAGAATGTGGAACTACATTCCTATTCCAATGAAAAAATGATAATTTTTACTATTCTAACCCACTTAGTGGAAGTAATTTGCCGTAATGTGTGAGTGCATCAGCAACTTATCTCCCCCTTCCCAAACAGCCTACACCCATGTAAGGTATCCTAAGGTGTATAGTAATCAGTACTAATGAGGTGATTAGATACGTACAGGATGCAGGAGTGCAGTTGCAATCCTGTAAAGTGACTTCCCCACTACTGGAAAAATGCCAGGACTAGCTGAGAAATGAGGAGGTATGAAGTAACTTTACTGTACACATGGTATAGTATGTGTTTTTTTTGTTTGGGAAAGCTTGGGGCGGGGTTTTAAAATTTTCCTGTTGGCCTCGCTTTCCCCAAACCCCCCTCCGCCCTACTCACCTGTAGATGCACTGTTGCATTGGGTAAAACATCTATGAAACACTCAGGTACTTAATTAGTGAACAAAAATGACGCCAGCAAAAATGATATACAGGTAAAAACTTGTCCAAGTTTACTTTGCCTAACTCAAATAAGTCGATCTCATTTTACATGCCAAATTGTTGCGTTTTCCATTAATTAACCATCTGTAAGTCAAATTTGGTCTAAGTCGAACAATTTTCCAATGCCATTTTGATTTGACTTTAGGCAAGTTCAACTGTAGTTAACAAAACTTACTTAAAATATACTTAGTTAAATTTTTAGAACTATAATTAGAAAAACATGTATTCATGTCCTCTATATAAGCTTACTGAATATTAAACATGCATTGAATTTTAAGATAAATATGAGTGGCCTTATAGTGTGTAGATTAATGTGCAAAGAATGCAGAGTTTGTAGAAACTAGACAGTCATACAGTATAAGATGTAGTTAAATAATTCAAGTGGCCGTCTTAAGCTGGACACAAACTGCGCCTGATGTTCGTTGGCAAAACGATTTCAAGAGAATGCAATGCAACTACGCATGCACAACAGATCTTTTTTAATGACAATCCGCTCACACTGCCACTGAGAATCAGCAGATGACGTCACGTCATCAAGCGCTCACAGAGACCAAAGATAGTTTGTCAGTCAATGGTCGTACAACGCAGTGTCTGTGCTAAGCTGTAGTCTCTAGGACTATGTGTAATAGAAACAAGTAGATGCTTAGAAACTGGCCTGTAATAATAATATTGAGGCATGCACTTTCATATACCAAGGACTTTTAACAGTTAAAACGTCCTTGCATATACAGTACATAGTGCACATGTTCAGGTGAATGATATAGTTGTTAATAAGTAATAATTATTATGTAGTATATATTAAATTATTGTAAAAAACTTCTTGTACATAAACATAGATTCAGTTCACAATTGATCAGATTTAATTTTATTCTTTGTATTGCCTTGTTTTTTAAAGTTTGCAGGTTTTTATCCCTCCAGAGATGCTTTTTTTTCATGCAAATGAAATAAAGGAACTTTTCCTTTGACGAGCTATGCTTGATACAATTATTACAACATGTTCCTTTTCTATTATTACTGTTTACATATTTGTATTTAGATATGTATGCACAAAACATATAAATAAAACCTATTAGATAAATATGTTATAACTTTTATAATTGTTTTCATTGTCATTGTGTGCATTGTGGTAGTAAGAAACATTTACAAGTTTCTCTGTTTATAATGATACAGGAAATATAGTTTTTGTTAAACTACAATATTGTTTTTGATTTGATATAACGTTTATTCAGAATTTTGAGCCGATTATATTATATTGTTGATATGTTTTAATCTTGTAATGGGGTGTTCCATTTACAAGATTATATTTCTTAGACTGCTTATGTTTTCAGAACTATCTACGTGGTGTACTGCAAGCATTTAATGTTATTACTTTGGCATGCAAACCTTTAAACAATAAAATTAAAAATTTGATAAATAATAAATCAAGAATAATAAGTAAGAATAACAAAGTTTTATAGCTATATTAGACTATTGTCCGAATCGGGGATAAAACTGATGACTTTCGTTAAAAGCTTCGCCGCTGTGTTTCAGAAAGTAATGCGTTGGCATAGTAGGAGAATAAAGCTTGCTTTCCTTCATATTGCTACATTGTCGCTAAAGTCTTTTAGTAAAATCATTGCAATGCGCAACAGCCTCAACGCAATCGGGTAGGCTATATCTTAAACATTTTATAATAGTCTCTCAATGCTGACTGGTGTTTGTATGGTATTTGTGGTATTGTCTAGTATTTAGTATTATAACTTTATTTGATGTTTTAAGGACTTTCATTTAAATAGTTCCTTTCGACTAAAACACAACAATGTATAACCCATTTGGAATGGTTTATAGCTTATTTACCCAAACATGTGCAGTAGACTAATTTCACTACTAATTTATTCATTTTAATCACCTGCTTTAATTTGATTAAAAGAGAACTAGCAAAATGATTTTTTGTTCTAGAGTGGATTTTTGATATGCCATTAATGATAGAATCAACCTTAAAATCGTTTTTTGGCTATTTTTTATGAAGTTATAGGCGATTATAATACGATTTTTACCATGACGTCACTGGCGAAATGTAACAAAAGATCGTGTAAATAGCACCGCGTAGGGTATCCACCGCGTAGGGTATCCACCGCGTAGGGTATCCGCCACCTATGATCTTTGCGTGCATGCTGTAACAATCACAATTTACAGCCACGGTGTACCTAAATACAACGGTGGGAGAAAACTAGAAGATGTAACAGCAGTATGTTCTATTAACTTAAAATTTGTACTCGGTAAAATGGGATATACTGAGCCGATTTTCACATTAAAAAGTCGATATAAGGTGCTAGTTAACGTTTATTAAGATTTTTGGAAAGAAAATAATGAAATTATGTCTTTGCGTGCATGCTGTAACAATCACAATTTACAGCCACGGTGTACCTAAATACAACGGTGGGGGAAAACTAGAAGATGTAACAGCAGTATGTTCTATTAACTTAAAATTTGTACTCGGTAAAATGGGATATACTGAGCCGATTTTCACATTAAAAAGTCGATATAAGGTGCTAGTTAACGTTTATTAAGATTTTTGGAAAGAAAATAATGAAAGTATGTCTCTAAATAGAAGTTCATATACATCAGCCGAATGTAGTACAATTGTTTATCAGTGTGATTAATCTGCTCAATAAACAATTTTAATTACTTGTGCAAATATAAAGATGTGGGTAACCCACATCTTTATATACGACTTTTCATGGATCTCGACCTGCTATGTAGGCCCTCTTTAGACTAGACGCGCATAGACGGTTGGAAGCGACGATCGAAGAAAAACGGTTAAGCAAGCCAAGGACTTCGCTAACTTCCATTCCTCAGTATTAAAATCCTTCCATTCATGGGCACTGTCTAAAACTTTCTTCCAGCTTATCTCTAAAAAGATTGTAACCTTTTCGTCTGCAGTTGGCTCAACTTGAATTACACAGGAGCCAGTGAGCTTCCATGACGGCCTAGGCTCGGACATGACACGTTGATGTTTGTTGTTATTTCGCGACGTCATCAACGAGTAAAATAATGTACATTCATTATCCACTATCATCTAAACTGCCTTAAAGAAAAAAAAATCGGTTCGTGTGGGAATCGAACACACAACCTCCATGTTTGTTAATCATCATCCACCATCAACTAAACTGCCTTTAAAAAATTAAAAAAAAAAAATGGCCTACCTTCAAAAAAAAAAAATAAATAAATAAAAAAATTTAAAAAAAAACTTGCCCCGTGTGGGAATCGAACCCACGATCGCCGAGTTTACTACTCCTGATCCAGCATGACTAAACGGAGGGAGGTAAACCGCGGCCCCTAAACCATAAATGCGATAAACCTAGTACCACACCAAGTACCAGTTAGTCAACTCTAATCCTATTAGAAAAAATTCTTTGTATATATATACACTCCAGGTTAATATTACGCATGGGTCATGGTGTCAAAAATGGGCCATGGGCCAAGAGGGTTTATTTTTTTGTCTA